GGAAGGAAAATTGAGGAAGTTTAGGAGGGAAATTGATTGCAGGGATTGTTTAGGGAATTCCTTTTGAATTTTATGTATTAAATAGATGTTTTTCCTAGGGTTTGGGCATCTTGAATTTGGCTGAAATTTGAGATCTCGTAGATTTAGGTTTTCTTTGGGCTCTTGGCGTTGCCAGAGATTTGGGAGAGAACGATCCTCCTCTCGAATTGAGGATCAATTGTATCTTGCTATTTTATTCTTCTACTAGTAAAATACAAGCTGTTCTTCCAATTTTCTCTCAGCTTTTCCCTGTTTTTCCCACTGTTTTGCTGTTTTTCCTGCTGTGAACAGCAGTTTGCATCGAGATTTGCTGTAGAAGTAATTGCTATACTTGCTTTGGTTAATTACTTATTTTTTATTTTAAGAAATAAATCTTAGATGGTTTGGTCACATAAAACGGCGGCCTTCCGATGACCAGGTTAGGAGAGTAGAGGTATTAGATTTGACTTATGTTAAGAAAGGTAGGGGTAGACCTAAAAAGACTTGGTTAGAAAATATTAGGAATGACCTTTCTTTATTAGATTTAAACGAGAATTTGACTTTTAATAGGACACAATGGAGAAAAAAGATTCATGTAGCCGACCCACGTAGTGGGATAAAGGCTTGATGTTGTTGTTGTTGTTGAAATAAATCTTAAATATTCCAACAATTTGAGGCAGTCTAATGATCAAATTCATTGGCAAATATACTGAGGCACTTGTTTGGTGGTAACATATCACTTGATGTAAAAATGTGATGAGGTATTCTAAAAGGTGACCTTCGTATGGAGTTTTCGGATTGGCATGTGGTGCCGACATGGCCATTGATGTTTAAGCTTTTAGTAGTTTTTATAACATCATTTTATGGGATAATGGAATGCATCTTTTTCGAAAGTTTGTTTTGGGTTGCGACCATACATATTCTAAAACTAATTGTGAGCGGATATTTTATTCTTTTTTAGCAATAACTTAGCCTTATGTCAAGTTTATCATGTGAAATAATTCATATATAGAAGAGAACCCTTCATGTTTTATATCATATGCTAATATGTTCATTTTTCTTTTAAGGTCTCTATCTTATGTTTGTATGTGTGCATCATGATCATGGAGTTCAAGGGAGCTTCCTAAAATGGATGTTGATAAAAACCATTTGGATAGTCTCAAGTGAATCAACCCTCTGTCATATACATCAATGGCACAAAATGGCGAACGCCTTGACACGTGGCGCGGCGCGACGCACATACGATGTTATTTGCTTGGCACGGCGTGACACTGCGCATCAAAATAGTGTGCTACTTGCGCTATGCATGCGCCATGGCGTATGGCGCAAATGGCGCGCCCTATTTTGTTCACATGTTATAAGTTTCAAATTATAAATTATAATTTTTTTTTTAAGATTTATATATTAATATCACAAATAATTATTAATTAGTTAAACATCAAATCAATAAAGTATCAAAAAGCGGTTCTATTAATATATATATATATATATTATTTTACAAGTACTAGAAATTACGAGCTCCCTATACGAGTTCCCTAGAGAACGGAAAATTAGCAAAAAATAATAATAATACTAAGTGCTAAATGTACTACAAGTACAATAAATTATGAGATATATATATATATATAGCACCAAGCCGATAATTCACATTTATAATTGTCAAAAAGAAAAATCATTCTTTTCTCTTGCATATCAATAAGCAATGAACGTTTTATATAATTTTGTTAGAATTTTAATTTTAAAATGCCAAGATGAATTTTTTTCTATGCTTTGAGCATCAATTTCTTACAAAATCATACGCGTGCAGGATGTTTTAAAAAGAAATTCAATAACCTGCACTGGCTATCACGTGCCGTCTCTATCTGAACATTAACTTCTTATAATTTTTAATTTCGTGTGAACATTTACGGTTTCTTTTTTCTGTTGGAACCATGTACATTAACAAGTATGTTTTCTGCATCAACCATGTATTTACAGTCTGTGGGCATGTCATCCATCGCCGTGCTTGAAAGGCTTAATGATACAAAGTCCCCTGCTGTTAAATTCCTGTCATTCAGGATCTATTTTAAAATCGCTTTCCTTAACAAAGAGTCTTCATAAAGGATGCATTGATTTAGGTTTCATTTGGGACGACTTTTTTATTGTTTTTTAAAAACAACTTTTTAGTATAAAAATTTTAATTTTTGTACTAAAAAGTTGCTTTAAAAAGCAGCAAGGAAGCTGCCCCAAACAAAGCCTTAATCTTGCATTTTTGCATTTGGAAGTGGTTTGTCAGTGTCTAATTATAACAATTACAATAATTTCTATTAACTGTATCTATGGTAACAAATGCTGACTCTATTCTTTTCTATCATATGAGGAATGTGTATGGATCTTGTTTCTAACAAGTAGGGTTGCTAATAGGTTGCGTGAGACAGATTTTTAAAATTCTGTAATTTTGGTCGAAGGATGCCTAAGTTTTCACTATCAAGTACTCTTTCGTGTGTGCTCAGTTTAGTTTCCCATTTTTTGTGATCTTTTCTGGTATACTTTTGCATATGAAGTTGTAATCAGCTACATGACTACAATATTTTGTATTTTTGTAATCACAGTTGCAGCTTTTACTGAAAAATGAAATATGATTGTGTAGTTTTGGCATGCGATTTTTGTGATGATATCAGTTTATTGATGGTCTCTTAAGAATTGATGAAGCACTTCTGCTGTCAAATATTTTGCAGGTTTTACGTTGCTGAAGTCCTCCTTGCACTGGAATACCTGCACATGTTAGGCATTGTTTACAGAGATCTGAAGCCGGAGAATGTGTTGGTGAGGGAGGATGGCCACATCATGCTATCCGATTTCGATCTATCACTGTGCTGCACATTCTCTCCCACGCTTATCAAGTCATCAAACTCGGATGCAGATCACCTGAAAAACTCCACCGCATACTGTGTTCAAACGTCCTGCATCGAGCCATCGTGCATACAACCTACATGCTTTACGCCACGTTTCTTCGTCGGCGGTAGATCGAAGAAGGATGCGAAGGCTAACAAGCCAAGGAGAGCTGAGATCAATCACCAGTTGATTCCTGAACTTATTGTAGAGCCCACGAGTGCCAGGTCAATGTCTTTTGTGGGAACTCATGAGTATTTGGCCCCGGAGATTATCAAGGGCGAGGGTCATGGGAGTGCTGTGGACTGGTGGACGTTTGGAATTTTTTTGTATGAGCTTTTGTTTGGAAAAACTCCATTTAAGGGTTCAGAGAATAGAGCCACACTATTCAATGTAGTGGGTGAGCCCTTGAGATTTCCTGAAGTTCCTGCAATAAGCTTTGCAGCAAGGGACTTGATCAGAGGGTTGCTTGTGAAGGAGCCCCAGCAGCGGCTGGCATATAGGCGGGGAGCTACTGAGCTGAAGCAGCACCCGTTCTTCCATAGCGTGAACTGGGCTCTCATACGGTGTGCTAGTCCGCCAGAAATGCCAAAATTATACAAGAGTGAAAGTCGGCCGACTTTGGCGGTGGTTGATGCCGCCGCCGGCGGCAGCAGCAGTGGCCCTGATGTGAAACTTGTGGGAAAATATCAGGAGAATATTGATTTCTTTTGAATAAGGTTTTTTGCGATTCGTCTGTGCTGCTTGGTCTCCTTGAATTTTCAAGGCACAAGGGCGTCACATTAGGCGGTACGTTCTATGAATATTCTCTTCGATATGAATGTTTCTTTGTTATTTACTGTTTGGTATGGTTAAAAAGGGAAAAAGGTGGGAAGAAGCATCATTCTAAGGGCAAATTATTAGGTCCGGTGACCGGACCATAATTTGAGTCCGGATTGGTGCACTTTTACTACGCTTTTGATGTATTTTTGCAAAAGAGCAGCTAATACACAATTTTAATTGCATATTAGCTGTTTTTTTGTTGAGTATTTACAAAAAAAAGCAAAAGCGCGGTAAAAGCGCAATAAATATCTTACTCATTGAGTATTTCCTGTCCTTTTGTTGCTCTTTTCAAATACTCAGTAAAAAGGCAGCTAATATGCACTTAAAATTATATATTAGCTACACTTTTGCAAAATCACATCAAAAGTGCAATAAAAGCGCACCAATCCGGACTCAAATTTAGGTCCGGTCACCGGACCTAATAATTTGCCCATTTCCTTCTAAGGTATTTACACCTCCAACCTCTTTCTAATGGGTAGGAGGTAACAGCACCTGAGAAATTAGCTTTGACGGGAGCAAGAGGTAGGCAAGGCTTCGTGATTATAACAAACGTTACATTGCAAGTGTTGTCATCGTCCTTTTTATATTCTCATTTCCCATTGTATTTCTGTGTTTGTTCAGTGAAATTTGATTTTATTTTGTCTGCAAAATGCTTCAGATATCATTTTCATTTATGTGAAAAGAGAGATGAATTATGAGTCTGGCTAAGGAGAAAGATTATCCAAATGAAACGGTACTCTTCTTCTATCTTATGAGATTACCGATATATCTGTAATGCTTTGTGAAGTATTCTCGAAACGATTAATGATTTGCTGCTAAGTTGGGTCACGTCATTTGTTTGTCTAAGAAATTTGATCAGATTCAATAAATCTTCAATTGTGATCGATCTTGAGTAAGGATTCAACATTAAGTTGTCTTAGGTTTTATTTGGGATATTTTTTTTTGATGCTTTAAAAGCAGTTTTATAGTCCAAAAATTTTTAGTTTAAAAAAATTGTAATTAAAAGTTGATTTAAAAAGCTTTACAATTGAATCCTAAGATTTAGGCTTTGTTTGGGACGGCTTTTTATTGCTTCTTGAAGCAGATTTTTAATATAAAAATTAAAATTTTTGTGAAGCAGTAAAAAAGTCTGTCCCAAACGAAGCCTTAGTATCTATTTGGGACAACTTCACGTCTACACTATCGCGGCTCTCCTTGTCTTTGCTATAGCAACTCTCTTGCGGCAATCTATCCAGGCTGTATCCTTCGCTCGACTACCCTTGCTTTGCTCGTCAACTCAAAAGTAATTTTGAACATGTAGAAGCTCCTTAAGACAATATACCATAGTGATTTTTGGTCATCTATGAATACTCTATCATTAATATCTTCTTTGATTAGTTTCTTCTTTTAAGTGTATAATTTTACTCAATTTTTCTTCACAAAATTGTCCTCTAAGTCAGCTTTCCCTAATTTACCCTAACCTTCCAATAATCTGATTGTGTCGTTCTAAATTGAGATTGTAATGTCCCAACATCAACTTTTGGAAGAGTTTTCTATTTTAATCTCTTCATTAACCAACTATAGATTTTATAAATCTATCAGTAATAAACAATCCAGCAAAAGCAATTAAAAATTATATACATCAAAATATAAAATTATATTCATTCCTCAAACTCATATAAAATAGCCAAAAGTTCAATCTATTTATTCAGTCTATTTTTTAGCTCTTAACTATAAAAGAATAAAATTAACAAATATAAAAATAAAATAAAATATAAATCCTAGATATGCCTCACTTCCTTGGATCTTGATTGCTTCCTAAAAAATATGTAAAATAATAAAGTAAGCTAACAACTTAATAGTTTATCAAAGCTTACAATTGAAATCAATGTAAGAAAATATGAACAATATGCATGTAATCATTTCATAATCATTCAATCACTATCAGTATGCACATATAACTGTAAAATGCATATAATAATCAATGAAATAGTAATAGGTCATATGATCAATAAACATTATTATAACTAGAGCAATGATCAATAACAAAGTGAACATATATAAGAGGTAAATAAACTATATCATTTCTATATAGATTTATTAAGAACAATTATATATATCTCGATTCAAGAAATATATATACATATCAAAGTTAAATGTATATAGTACAGTTTTTGTCTATGTTATGCATGTAAATCATATATATATATATATATATATTATATATATATAACTATATATATATATTATATATTACTAGTCTTATCAAAATTCTAATATCAATTATAACCAATATCTTATCTTAACAATCATTGAATGCAACAAATTTAAATGTGATGTTTTCATATTCCATCCAATTATAGCCCAATTGGGTATTAATATTGATATGCGTCTAACTGTCACTTAATTAGGTATCGGTCAATCTCAATTTTTTGCTCAATTAGATATCAATCTTAATTAGGCTCCGGTTGCCACCAATTGTACGGTCCTTCATCTTTCATATTAAATATTTAACATTCCATCGCATGCCTAAATGCCTACATTTTTTATCAGTATCTATATATGAAATGTAGTAATTCATAAAAATACATAGAAATCAAACCAAATTTATATATTATATATTTACTTTTAAAATCATTTTTTTAATTATCCAATAAAAAAATTAATATATTCTATCAAAATGCCTCAGTATTGACCGATATCTATCTCATACTAAAAATAATGCAATCGAAATTTATTAATTATAAATTATCCTCAATTTTTTTGGTAACTTAAAAATACAAATTTGATTGAAAATCTTAAAAATAAGAAAGTTACTGAAATAGAAAATGATAATGATTCTAACAACGAAATGAATAAATCTCCACGATGACTGACTGCCAAAATCATTTCTATGCCTCCAAAATCCTAAAATTTATTTTTTTTCCTCCATATTTCTTCTCATTTTTCCAAACAGTTCTCTAGCTTGAGGAAAACGAATGCAAAATATGGAGAATGGAACTTTAATAACATATGTTAAGTTAATATAGATATTTATAATGAATATAATAATATATTATAAATATTATCATATAATTGTTCAATTTTCAATTATAAATTCATGTAAATCTTTTTTTGGGCTTAAAAAAATTATAAAAAATAATACAAAATAGCTTGTTTTTTTTAAAGTTTATTTGTGAAATTAGTTTGCAAATGGACATACGATAATCCAAAATTCTCATTTGACCAACATGTAATCAATTTCTTTAAGGATTTTACACCAGTGCTAAAAATTATGAAAGAACTAATGTAATTAAATCACTATAATTATCGTATATAATGGTGAAGACGATTTTTAAATTTTACTTATAATGACTTCCTAAAAAAAATATTGATTGGGTTAAATTTAGGATCGACCGTCCATTCAAAACCACTCCAGATTTGCACCCTGATCATCTCACCTATATTACAGGACAATGTCACTTTCTCAGGAATCTATAAATAGGAACCCATCCATTTTCTTGTGAGGTGGCCCAAGCAAGAAGAAGAAGGAGAAGAGAAGGATAGGAGGGAATAACTCCTACTCAACCACGCCGCCAGAATTCTGTCCAAGTGACACGGAATCCTCCCTCCAAGTGACGCCGGAGTTTCTGCCTGAATACCATCTAAAGCGTCAGAATTCTTTCGGCTACAACATGGCGTCAGCATTCCTTACCCGAACAACCGGAGTACGCTCTCTCCAAATTCTACACTGACGCAGGATCTTCTGCCAATTGTAGGACTTCACCAGACCATCACCTGATGTTTGGATTCTGTCCATGATGGTCTTCTACCTAGACCTCCGTCTTTTTGACATCCGTCGTCAGACAATAGTTTCTCCAACCTCCGTCCCCGCCGACTACGATCCTTCAGATTCGTCGCCCACCCGACTACAGTCCTTCCTGACCTTCATCGCCGCCGACTACGGTCCTTCGGCTTAACGTCGCACACGACTATAGTCCTTCAAGACCAACAAACACATAAACAATGTGCTTCTTGTATTGCTCCCATGTGAATGTACTCTATTAAAGGAATGGTACCATCGAGCTAAGGTCTTCCCTGAGAAAGACTCCTTGTAATCAACTACTAATACTAAGTGGATTCATTCATTACCTTGGTAAGGCCCCGTGGGTTTTTTCCCGATTTTCGGGGGTTTTCTATATAAAAAATCTTGATTGTCATAATAATGTTATCACCCTCTCTCTTATCTGATTGCGTTGCCAGATTTCGTACAATGCTAAAGACCGTAAAAACTTTATTATTTCTCACGGTGACCACCGTGAATACTCCAAAGACGCAGCAATAATTAAATTAATAATTTATAATTATATATTCAACTCAAATAAATATGTATATTTTGTAATTTTGAAATGTGTATAAATTTTTATGAGAATAGATATGTAAACCAAGCTTCAAACTATAATTAACATATGCTCCATCCATCCCATATTCTTTGCCCATGTGAATAAAGAAATGATGATAAAGATAATGTTAATATATAGTGCTTAAGGCGATATGGACAAAAATCAAATAAGTTCTTAAGTTCCTATATGGTATATACATACATATTTTATATATTTTTTATTAAGAATTTAAATAAGGCAAATAATATTTTCATTTTGGGTAAAAATATTCAATTTATATAATATAAAATTATAATTTTATTTTTAATAATAAAATATAGAAAATGAATTTTATAGATATAAATTTGTAAACTATTTATTGAATTATATCTAAACATATAACATAAATTAAAATTTTTATATTAATTTATAACTATTATGTAAGCTAAATTTTTTATATTATTAATATATTAATTTGAAGATCAAATATATTTTATTTAAAATGATAAAATATAATTAAATTATATATACTGAATTTTTTAATAGAAACTAAACTAAATAAGTATATAGTATATATATAATAGATTATATATATATATAATATATATATATATATATATATATATATATATAGTATATATATAATCTTAATATAATTTTGTATATTATTTATATGCATAAATTATATTAAATATATAACAATAATTAAAAAATTATATTAAATTTATAAATATATATTAACTAATTTATCTTAAATAGATTAAATCTCAAGATTAAATATGCTTAAATAGTAAATGATAGAATTATTTATTATAAATAATTTTAAATTTTTTATTCACAAAATTACATTATATATAATTAAATTATATTTAAATAATTTTTAATATTATTACCTACATGATCCAACGATCTAATCAACTGTGTTGAATCATTGAATGTTGAGACATGGTCATATATTTTGAAACATCCGATTTTTAACTAAGCATCGAAAAGAAATAAAATGGAGGGTAAACGTGGGTCTAAAAGACACATTATGTAAGGAGGAGGGGGATTAAATTTATTTTTAAAATTTAAAATTTTTTATTAGTAAATTATTATATAAGTTGTATTTTAAAATTCAGCCAAAGAAAGATATGCTAGATTCTTTACGGAGGGAGCAGCCACACGCCGCACGCCGCGAGACTTGCCGTTCTCCCTTTCCTTGCCCGGCTCTGCGAGCTTGCCGCCATGCGTGCCGATTGAATAGCTTGAAAGCTTCACAAGAGAGGGGAACATAGAAACTAGTGGGCTATCCATTAGCAGTCCGATGACCTCCGCCTCCGCCATCCGCCGTGGCGGACTCAGCGCCGCGAGACTTGCCGTTCTCCCTTTCCTTGCCCGGCTCTGCGAGCTTGCCGCCATGCGTGCCGATTGAATAGCTTGAAAGCTCCACAAGAGAGGGCAACATAGAAACTAGTGGGCTATCCATTGGCAGTCCGATGACCTCCGCCTCCGCCATCCGCCGTGGCGGACTCAGCAGCCTGCTCGTATTCGACCGCCGTCTCGGATCATCCTACGTCCTTCCTTTCACCCTGATCACACTCCTCTCCGCAATCCTCATCTTCGTCCTCTTCGTTCACATGGTACTCTCTCTCTCTCTCTCTCTCTCTCATTCTTTCTTTCTAGCATTTCTCATCTAATGGATTTCTCCTCTGCGAAAGAGCCCAGGCGATAAACAACCTAAAATCACGAACTCGAACAGTTGCGGGACACAATCTAGAAGCCACGCCCTGGCATCCATTCAACCTCGACGATCGGCACCTCGACGCCTCTGCCTCCCGAATCCTACGCTGCTCGTACCTCTCCTGCCTCCGCCGCTCTCCCCCAAGCAAAATCTCACAACACTCATCGCCCGCGCCAGCGTGCCCGGCCTTCTTCCGTTCGATTCACCGCGACCTCGAGCCCTGGCGTCGTTCCCGCATCTCACGCACCGTGCTTGCCGAGGCCCGAAAGTACGCTGCGATGCGAGTCGTGATCCTTGGCGGTAATCGCCTCTACGTTGATCTCTACTACTCGTGCGTGCAGAGCAGGGCCATGTTTACTGTCTGGGGCTTGCTGCAGCTGCTGCGAAGGTACCCTGGGATGGTTCCCGACGTCGATCTCTTCTTCGACTGCATGGATCGTCCTGCAATTAACAGGACGGAATACGATCTGGCAGGCACTGGAAAGCCCCCGCCGCCTCTCTTCCGTTACTGCACGACGAAGGATCATTTTGATATTCCGTTTCCCGATTGGTCTTTCTGGGGCTGGTATTACTGTTTTCTGCCTTTTGATGCTGTTTTTACTTATTTTGGTGAAATGAATGATCCATTTGTTGCCTGCGTGCTTCCAGGTACAAAGAAATTTTTATATTTTGCTTGTCGATAGCTAGAAATGTGGTCTCTTGTCATCTAAAGCGAACTAGGGGAGGAATAGGCGAATACATGCATTTAGAAAGGGTTAACTCTAAGATTCAAGTCCTTGGATTCTACTGAGTTCTTACTGGATGAGCATATTATAAAAATAGTTATATTGATGAAAAGACTTTTATTATCAAACTTGTTGGGGCTCTGGTAGTCTCTGTAAATGTATCTTAGCCTTCGATATCTTGAGCTTTCAGGTATAGTATATCAGCAAGAACCGTTTTACTAACGTTATTACTTATATCTTGACCTGGCAAATCAAAATTCTAAGCAACTGGCACGTGGTTTCGAACTTAAAATTTGATTTATATAGGAAGTGAGCAAGATTCATATTTTGATAAAATGAAAAATTAAAAAAATGCATTGAATTGTTTCAGGACAACCCTATTTAATTTGTTGTTGTAGACTAATGTATTTGATTGAAAATGACTTGATTGCACATATTATATATCTTTTCTTTAATCATGTGTGATGGGGGTGATCCGCAACTTGTTTGATACGCACATTTTAAATTTATTTGATCACGCACTCTTTAGCTGCACAAATTCTCTCAGGAAGGTTTGCTTCCCTATTCTGATTTTTAAATTCTGAAGCATTGAGGATTCTTGAAGGTTGAATCTAACTGTGAAGATTCGGTTATTGTACTTGCATTATTATGTTTATAAGGAATTTAATAAGAACTATGGAGCTTTCATTGAACATAGAAGTTCTCTCTCTCTCTCTCTCCCTCCCTCCCTCCCTCCCTCCCTCCAGTGCATGGATACTTGTTTGTTCTATTATTTTAGCATTAAAATTAGGAACAATTTATAAAAGTTTGAGAAAACAAACTTTTTTTCCTATTTTCTTCCAAATTGCTCCTCTCTTTAACCGTCATTTCTCCCAAATCCCAGCTTCTATAACAATAGGAATGAAAATGAGTTGTTTAATCTTACCCTCCAACGTGATCATTTGCTAAAAATGAAAAACAAAACTTCCCCAAGCTTTTTTGCGAGTTCGGCCATCCGCTCTCCCTTCTCTATTTCGCAAAATGAAAAGTACCGACCCCTATATGGGGTCACGACTCTATTAATAGCATTGGCTGGTTCAACCGAACCGGCCAGATCTGGTTCTCACATATGACTTGCTTAAATGGGTTTCACAAATTTAGGAATTGAATTTAATTCCAATCTAATTCAAATTCATTTTGAATTTGATTTTAGAAACTTTCCTAAAATAGAATTATATTTTAGGAAGTGTTTTGAACTTCAAATTTGAATTGAATGATTGAAATCGAAAAACTTTCCCAAGAGAGAGTAAGCAAGAAAGTAAAGTAATGATGTGGAATTTGGAAATTTGGGGGCAAGGGGGAAAGAGGGAGGTCGGTGGCTAGGCTAGGGTTTGGATTAGGGTTAGGTGGAGGTGGAGGAATTAAGTGGGTCACCCAATCAAGGGGAACCACCTTGGATGGCCGGCGGCTAGGTGGATTGGGGGAAAGGGCCTTGGCCGGCAGTGGGGTGGTGGATGTAACTGGCGGTGGGAAATTTTGGATGAGTCATGGGATGGAAGGGAAGGGAGGGAGAAAGAGGAAAAAGAAATAAGATGAAACTAGCCACGAACCCGGACTCTTCCAAGGCTGGTTGGTGATCCGCTTCCCTCTCCACGGGATTTCTCTCCAAAACCTCTCAAGCTTTCACAAGAACTCAATGTGTAGAAATTTGATTATAATTCATTCATTACACCTTCAAAAGAAACATAAGGGGGTTATATAGCCTCATACAATAAACAGGAAAATAAAAGACGATGTAGCCCTTAGGACATACACATGACAAACCCTTAAGGGTAAAAAGGGAAATACAGTTAAAATAAATACATAAAGCAAATAAATAAAACAAATACATATGAGGACTCAAAAATAGATCAGTGCGATCATAGTCGTAGATCATCGGCCACATCTTTGATATACTTTCCATGATCTGATATCCCCATCACTATACCCTTGCAAGCGATGACGATCGACGTACGATGAATGTAAATGACTCATGGCATACGAAGAACAATAAAGCTCTTTCACAAATATAATAACCCATTTGCGAGAGAAGGGTTTGTGATGAACACACAAATAGTAGGTAAGGTGAGTGTATCATATGTCATGATTTATTCATGAACAGAGCATAGAATATGCACAATGAATACAATACATTGCAACTAACAAAGATCGATGTCCAACAGATTGCCAACTAAGACGAAGTTGAGGAGTATGAAATAATTATAGTTTGCACACAATCGATGCTACTTAGCTACATACAAGCACATCAAACTCCTGCAAATGATAATAGTTGGCATGCATTGATTATAAAGACATACAGTCAATGTCTAGCAAATGCATAAATTCCCTGCATGTGAAGGGAGTTGACATGCAACTAAGGCAATGTGTTGCTCGAGATAAAGCACAATTCTCATGCAAATAATGATGAGAGATTTGCAACACGCAACATATTGTCTACGAGCAAGAATAATATATTTGTCATGCATACGAGCTCCTACGAACCACTGTAGGGGTCTACTTATTCATACAGTAGTCCACTTATGGGTGATGGCTAACAACGTGTAACCAACTTAATAGAGTCACTTGCAAACATATACAATATAACATACGATAAATGCAAACACTTGTTAGCAATGACAGAAGATTTGTTGTATGCACAATAATATGTCTACAACTGATAATCAACAACGAGCAATGAGTTTTACAATGCCACTATAGTTGACAACCACTCAATGACAGGCAAGTACATCGATTCCTCACAACCATAAGTGATCAATACACAACAAATGCAGACACTTACAAGCATTGTGGGAGATTCTCCATCCACAACAAATGCAAAAAGGTCGCGATAAATGCATATATCTTTAGGCAATACAAGATATTCGTTAGTGCACGACAATCTACCTATATAAAGTAGTAGATGACCTGCAAGCGCAGCGCCACACCACCAGATCTGCAAGCACATGCACGCATTATCATTATGCAAGAAATTAGGCGAGGCATAGCTGCATTATACATGCATATCGTAGGCTGTCATATTAAGTTTGTGTGCAAAACAAAATATCAATATATGCGCATACATACAAATATGATGCATATATCCATTATATTGCATACATACCACTACCGTGCAAATACATCATGCAAATGCATTATTCAAAATGCATGCAAATGCCTACACCCGCATGGGCCATTTATACATACACGTGATGTTTGAGGATGCTATGCGGGTCAAGGAATGAACATAAGTTTGAGCCCGATCTTTCTATGTGAATAGATAGTAGTCAACACAACTCAAATATATAACAAATGTATTGTTATGACATCGATCGAGATACTTTTTTTATACATTCATATTAGATTTTCAAGGTCCATAACAAGGAAAATCCACTAATAAAGGCCTAAATCCAACAACGAACTCAATTATTTGTCAGCAAGTTTATAGAGTCAACAATATTCAATCAATAAAATGAAATAACTCATAAATATCCCGATGATGGCCATGTTGACAGAAGATCTTAATTAGAGGAGATTCTGAATATTCAAAATTGCTTCCAAATTCCCATAAAATATACTCAAATAATGTCAATATTTAAAATGAAATTAATCATCAAACACTTAAAGCAAAAACATCCATCCACCATCAGCAACAATTTGTCGAGGTGGACAAATTTCAAAATCACTTCAGCTCACCAAGACCAAATGTCTGGACTAGAATATCAGTAGGATTAATTCTCAAATCATCTTTTTACAGTAAGGACATGGCACACATCCTCTAACAGATGGTTTCGTCGTCAAATGACACCACACCAATGGTTTCGTCGCTAAATGACATTACGTGTAAATGGTTATTACCAGGACCCTCTGATCAGGTGGTTTACGGTCATAGTCAGAGCCCGTATGTTACCCAACGATGTTAAATCCTTTAGGAATGAATTAGTAGGATATGATCGATAGGGCATAAAACCCTTTGTCAGCTAATATGGATTCAAATTTATCCCCTTAGACAAATATTCACCTCAGTTCCACAAGGTGCCCTTGGATGCGCAACTCGTGGCTGCCGACAAGGATCCTTCGGTCAAGTTGGTTCAACTATCTCCTTTGACTAAGTAGATTAGGGAACATGATGACGCGGGATGACAGAATCATGGGATCTTGATCGGGTTTATCATCACTCTCCCCGCCATTCGGTTGAAGTGCAAGATGGTAAATTTCCAATTTTAAAGGTTAAATTCCAAATATATAATCATGATGCTACTATACGTTGGAAACCATGTATTTGTTTAATGACTAGCCTTAATCAAAAGTTCTCTCTCTCTATCGGGAGGGATAATAACTATAGAGGCTTTGCACCTATAAGAAATTTGAACTCAGATTATAAAGTCCTCACAAAATAAGGGCAAAATCTCTGGTGATGTCTTATTCAAAATCTAATATGCCTTCTAAAAATTTGCCTCAGAATATGCTCGTTAAAACTCTTCTCGACGACCCCAAAAAAGGAAAAGAAAAGGGTCTGCGGAGAGGCTAGGGCGTGAATTTTCGGAGCCCGTAGTATGCATATCCTTAATGACTTGAATATAAGCATTGTTAACTCTTTTCTTTTATAGAACTCTCTAGAAAACTTCTCTTAAAATTTTATCATATGCTTTCTCTAAATCAATAAATATCATATGTAGATCCTTACTCTCGCTATTCTATTCTATCAAAACTCTCAACAAATATTTAGCTTCCATAATAGACCTACTCGACATGAAACCAAACAAATTTTGAGAAACATTAATATTATGTTGTAATCTATGCTCAATTACTCTCTTCTATAACTTTAATGTATTACACATTAACTTATTTCTTTTATGATTTACACACTCTTGTGTATCACTTTTATTTTTAAAAATAAGAATCAACACACTCTTTCACCACTCATCAGATATCTTTTTAGTCTTCAAAATTTATCATTGACAGAGCATAAATTTTTTTTGCCCCTTGAACACCCTTTAAAATTTCTTTGTATCTTCGTATTGGATTAACCATAATTAAGAATATGACTAAAAGTCCAAAATAGTCCCCCGACTATTAGTAAATGCCCGATTTAATCCTATATTTTCATAATGCCCCAATTTAGTTTCCCGATTATTTGAACATGTTTTAATTTGATCTTAAGATTAAAAGTAACTGTTAAATTTAACCCCAACAATTAAATGTGATGACATTTTGGGTATTGGAGTATATGTGTGATTATATTATTTTTTTAATATATATTATTATTTATCATATTAAAATAAATACAAAGATTATAATAAAAGTTAACCATTTTTATTAATTATTCACTATTGTTATTTAATTAGTTTACTTCTATTATGATTTTATATTTATTTTAATATGATAAATAACAAATATAATCTTCATACATCATAATACCCAAAATATCCTCACATTTAACTGTTGGGGTTAATTTTAATTGTTACTTTTGGCATCGGGTCTAAATTAGAACATTTTCTAATAGTCGGGATGTGATGCCTCATAATCTAATTTGGAAGAATTATTCTTTTATCTTTTAATAAACAACAATCAAAGCCATCTAACTTTTTTTTTTTATCATTATAAATACCTGTAGAAATAAAACTATCGATCAAAATATTAATATATACATATGTATTCTTTTCCTAAAAATCATATACACTACTCAAGATTTATATAATAACATATCTATCATATCCTGAGTATAAAAAATAGCTAAAAGACTGAAAGAGAATCCTGATCTAATTGATCTCACACATTTACTCCCTTTCCCTAATCTAAAATCTTTTAACAACATATAATGAGCTCAACAAGTTAACAAATCCTACAATTGAACTCAATGTAAGACAAAGGAGCAATAATGAGGAATTAAAAGAGATTTAATAGCTTATGTTAATACTTTATGATATTTATATTAAAATATTAATTTAATACTATATGATTATATAAATTATTTAGTTCTAAATACAAAGATTACATAAATCATTTTATATCTTCAGATTCATAAATCTAAAAATTATAGAAAAATATCCATAAAATAGCTTATTTAATTTAGAAAATTATGGTGAAATCGGTTTTCAAAACAGACAACCGACAATCCCGAAATCCCTACTTGTACTGACAGGTGTTAATTTCTTAAGGATTTGCACTAGTGCAAAAAAATTACGAAAAAATTAGTGTGATTAAAAAACTACAATATCTATGTTATGGCGGAGATGGTTTATGATTTAAACATACAATGACTCCTAAAACATTTATTTGTTTGGGTCAAAATACAGACTGTTACATGATGGATTAAATTGGGTCATTATGAAAATCTGTGACTAAATTTGACATTTAGTAATAATTGAGAAACAATTTTGAATTTTTACTCTTAAGAATATTGTGAAATGGACATTTACATTCTTTGCATCTTTCATTTATTGTGTTATAAACTCAGCGTGAAGTAGCTGAAGTTGAACCTTCATTTCATTTCTTATGCCTTTGTAAGCCCTTCAAGGTTTCTCTCATGCTTGGTTCGAAGTAGATATGTCCATACCTTCTCAAAATTAGCTTCATCTGAGCCTTGGTAGATGAAGAGGAGTATATTCTTGTCCTGCTTTGTACTTTCCTTTAAGGAGTCCTTTTGCTTGATGACAACTCTTCTTCATATTGAGAGTCAACATAACATTTTCAATGGCTATCCTAATATACTAGGAGCCAAACAATGTCTCTTCATTTGGAATACTCAATTTTCATAGCTCTCCTTGGTGAAATATGACACTTACAAGTTCATGCCCCTTGCCATCTCATATAAAGTTTGCTTGGATATTACTTTGATAAAAATTTTGTTTGTAGGGATAGATGAATGAACTCTCAAGTTTATATTGAACTTATCCTTCAAACTTGGTTTGTTCGAAAAGGTATGTAAGGCTCAAAGCCTATTTATACTAGTTCATGGAGGGTTTTTAACTAGATGCAATTTAGTATAATTTTCAACTAATTCCTCCCATCTAACTTAATAATTGAATATTTAGAGATTTCAAGACAACCTTAATGTTAAAACTTCTAGATGCTCCATGACAATGACACATTTATTTTTGATTTTATTTTTTCAACGTGACTTTCACTTTTATGTAATCTATGATCAATATTTAGGCTTCGTTTGGGACGGTTTTCTTCCTGCTTCATAAAACAGTTATTTAGTACAAAAATTGTTTTATGAAACAACAAAAAAGCTGTCTCAAACAAAACCTTAATAATCTTCTTTTGTGGATAATCTTCGGATTTGTAAAAATCTTGATGCATAGCTTGGATTTTCAAGTACAAACAGCTATTTAATTATATTTGGAAATGTAAAAGATGTACCACGGTTGCATTGTTAATTTCCTTTGTTTCACATAAGCAGGTCCGAGGTTAACATCAAACCATGGGATGAACAGTTCAGAGAGATAAAAAATGGGTCTCAAAAAATTCCGTGGAAAATGAAAGACGACATTGCATATTGGAAAGGAAATCCAGATGTTCAGTCTCCAATACGGATCGAGTTACTGAAATGCAATGACACAAAGCAATGGAAAGCCCAAATCATGCATCAGGTGCGTGAATAAATTCTAAAGATTTTCTTCAAATAAAAAAAAATTATACGATACATTTAAGCCTCAAAAATATTGTCACATTATTGTGCTATGAATTGTGATTTGTTACAGGACTGGATACAAGAATCAAACTCTGGGTTCAAGAATTCCAGACTTTCAGACCAGTGCAAGCACCGGTAAGACAAATTAGGCTTCGTTTGGGACGACTTTTTTACTGCTTTAAGCTGCTTTCAGGAATCATTGATTAACAGTTACATTATCTCTGCAGTTTTGAAATCTATGCTGAAGGTTTTGCATGGTCAGTGAGCCTGAAGTACATTCTTTCATGCGGATCTGTTTCACTAATTATAGATCCACAGTACGAGGAGTTCTTAAGCCGCGGGCTCATCGCTAGTGAGAACTACTTGCCGATCAACATCTCGAACTTATGTCCTTCTATAATGTCTGCAGTCGACTGGGGAAACAATCACCCATCTATGGTATTTTTCTCATTTTATACGGATTTCTAATTTAGGCTTTGTTTGAGACAGCTTTCTTACTGCTTCTTAAAGCAGTTTTCTTATACAAAAATTAAAACTTTTGTACAAGAAAACCGCTTTAAAAAGCAATAAAAAAGTCATCCCAAACAAAGCCTTAATTTCCCCGTTGCTTTCTCTCGGGAATAAAGGACTTTCAAGTTCATTGATTTGATATTGTTGATCATCATAATCATCATTAGTCTTATCCCAAAAATATGAATATGTAAGTTGATAAGTATTTATTGGTACAGGCAGAGGCTATAGGCATAAAGGGGCAGCAATTAATGGAAGATCTGAGCATGGATCGTGTATACGACTATATGTTTCACCTTATTATGGAGTATTCAAAACTGCTGGACTTTAAGCCAACTCCACCTCCATCTGCTCTCGAAGTATGTATGGCTGACGAAAAACAGAGAGAAATACTTGAAAAATCATCAAGCTTGCCTTCTTCCACGACAGCATGCACTCTACCAACGCTGGAAGGTTATAATGATTAATTATATCATTTATTTTTGTTTACTATGCTTTTGTTAGCAGAAGGAGAGGCTGCTCCCGTATGGAGTTGATTTAGGCTTCGTTTGGGACGGTTTTTTTATTGCTTTCTAAAACGGAGTTTTAATACAATTTTTTTTATTTTTATACTAAAACTCCGTTTCATAAAACAATAAAAAAGCCGTCCCAAATAAAGCCTTAGGCTTCGTTTTTGGGACGGCTTTCTTACTGCTTCTTAAAGCAGTTTTTTAGTTCAAAATTTTTAATTTTTGAATTAAAAAGTTGCTTTAAGAAGCGGTAAGAAAGCCGTTCCAAATGAAATCTTAAGTTTCATTTGAGACAATTTTCTAATTACTTTAAAAGCAATTTTTGGCTCGTCTGGTTGTTTGAAATTAAAAAATTTCTTTTGAAAATTATGGCTTTTTTAGACTTCATTATTTGGCTGGATATAGCTATAATCAATAGGAATTTTTATTATTCCTATTTAAAAAAACTGTTAATAAAATAAAATAAAATATGAATTTTTAAAATACGATTTTACAGAGCGAGATGAGGAGGGTAGCAAGCAAGATTATCTGCATCATTCAGACATTTTTAAAGCTTACCAAACGTATTAAGCTATGAAGAATGAACCTGCAAAGCACTAAAAACAGAGAACAAGAAGAATAAGAGAATAACGAAACAAATGCTTAAAACTTCTACTGTTCATCTCATTTTCTTTTTCACCCCGAATCCTCTGGTCATACAAGGATATAAAAAATAGCAGTTCGTTAGAGCTCAACCGCTGAGATGCATTGGTAGAGATCAAGCGGTGAGGATTACACAGTGCCGAGACTAGCAGGGTAAGTGGAGTGCAGAATGCCAGAGGAGTGGAGCAGCCTTACAATAGGCAAGCCGACTTATGCATAGGCATGAGTCAGTATCAGTTTTCCTTATCAGCCTCCCTCAAGGTAAAAATGGAGGGCTGTATTGTTATCTTGTTTCTTAACTGAGAATGACGAGTTGCACTGAGAGATTTTGTGAATAGATCGGTAGGTTGATCTTGAGAGCAAATATGATGCACCGAGATGAGCTTGGAATTAATACATTCCCTAATGAAGTGAGCATCAATCTCTATGTGCTTAGTTCTTACATGGAATATATGATTATTAGCCAAGGCAAGAGCGAAGACATTATCACAGAAGAGTTGCGTCGGTGCAGGTTGGTGAATTTGAAATTCATATAAAAGATGGTGGAGCCAAATAATGTCACAAGCTGCTGTGGATAATGCTCGATACTCTGCCTCTGTGGACAAACGAGCTACCGATGATTGTTTCTTAACAATCCAAGATATAAGATTGTTATCGAGAAAGGCACAATAGCCTGTAATGGACCGTCTGTCACAGTGATCCGTTTCCCAATCGGAATAAGCAAATCCCGTTAGAACAAGTGAGGAAGAGTGAATTGGCAGGCCAAACGATAACGTGCCTTTCACACGAAGAACACGTTTAAGAAGGTTATAGTGGGACTGGAGGGGATTGTGCATTTGTTGATAGAGATAGTTCACAACAAATAGTAGATCCAGACGAGTAATCGTCAAATACTAGAGAGCTCCAGTGAACTGCCTGTAGTGTTCCGGTCGTTCATAGGCAGAAGCTGATTCAGAGTTGGAGAGAAACTTGGTCGGCAGAGGCATGCCGACCAGTTTGCAATCATCCATCGCAGCTTTATGTAGAAGCTCTGAGGCATATCGAGTTTGAGACAAGTGGATGCCAGTGGATGTATATACAACCTGCAGTCCAAGGAAATAATGGACAGGTCCCAAATTGCGCATGGAGAATTGATTTTGCAGAGCAACTAGAAGTTTGGCTATTTTCGGGGAAGAATTTCCAGTGAGGAGGATATCATCAACGTATATCAAGATGTATATTTGCACCGAATTCTAATGCAACATTAGCAGGGATGGGTCGGCAGTGCTCGAGCGAAAGCCATATTGAATGAGATATGATGAAAATGTGGAGAACTACTGTCGAGGTGATTGTTTAAGTCCATAGATAGCCTTTTTTAGGAGACAAACATGATTCGGAAATTGTTTGTCAATGAATCCCGGCGGTTGCTTCATGTAGACCACTTCTTGGAGAGGACAATGTAAAAATGCATTAGAAACATCTAATTGCAGAATTTGCCAATTGTTTGTCACTGCAATGGTCAAAATAATGCGAATGGTAGGGAATTTTGTGACGGGACTAAACATTTCGAGATAGTCTATCTCGTACTCTTGCTTGAACCCTTGCGCCACAAGACGAACTTTGTAGTGAGCTATAGATCCATTTGCATGAACTTTGGTTTTGAATAACCATTTGGAGCCCAAAATATTAGTATTCGGCACTGGTGGTACAAGTACCCACGTACCTTATTTTTGAAGTGCTTCAAATTCACTGCTCATGGCTGCTCTCCAAGCACTGTGCTGACTAGCTTGTAGAAAACCCGTGGGATTAGTGGGAATGACAGTGGTAAGAATATCAAACACTTGTCTCGGTTTAAGACGGTCTGTTTGTGCTCTTGTGACCATAGGATGCTGAGGAGGTGTGGAACAAGCAGGTGGGCAAGGTGCAGAGGAAGCATTAGGGATAGAATTGCTGTCAGGTAGAGAGTCTATAACATGCTGTATGGGAGAAGCTTCAGTAGATAAAGGAATTGAGTAATCGATTGGATCATTTGTATTATAGAGTGGTGGTATTGATGAGACAATAACAAGAGTTGATGGTATAAGATTGGGAACATGTTCTGTAGTCTGAGGAGTAGTAGTGGGAGAAGTTTGAAAAGGAAACTGATTTTCATGAAAATGCACATGTCGAGAAATATAGACTTTGTTGGATTGTAAATCCAAACATTTGTATCCCTTTGATTGTGAAGCATAACCCAGAAAAATACAGGGAGTGGAGCGAGGGGCAAACTTTTGTGACAATTGAGTAGGAAACCATGGGTAACATAAACATCCAAACACGCGGAGTTGGGTATAGTCAGGGATCTGCTTGTATAACCGTTCGTATGGAGAAGTGTTATGAGTAATATGAGATGGTAATCTATTAATTAAATAAACTGCAGTGAAGAGTGTATAAACCCAAAATTTGGATGGAATATTGGCATTAAAGAGTAATGCCTGCATGGTTTCAAGCAGATGACGATGCTTTCTTTCTGCTATCCAGTTTTGTTGAGGGGTGTAAGGGCAAGAGACTTGGTGGTTGATACCACACTTAAGAAGATGAGTTTGAAATTATTTATTTATGTATTCTCCCCCTCCATCGGTACGAAGGGTTTTTATGGAGGTTTGAAATTGTTTTTCCACAAGTGTTTGAAATTGTAAGAATTTGGAAAAAAACATCTGATTTGTGATGAAGAGGATACATCCGCATATAACGACTGTAATCGTCAATAAATATAACATAAAAATGATAAGATTGCATTGATAAAGTTGGGGAAGGACCCCATACATCACTATGAATAAGTTCTAAGCATTGTTTAGACACTGAACTAGATAGTGGGAAGGATAGTCTAGTGCATTTAGCCTTGGCATAGGCATTACATGGGATAGATTCTAACGAAGTACTAATACTAATAGGTAGTAGAGTAGATAAGCGACGTTTAGTGGAGGCGGATGGATGTCCAAGTCTTTGATGCCATAGTGACTTCGACGTAGGAAGAGCAACGAAGGCTGTGGTGGAAGTAGATCGAGGCTGAGTCTTATGAAGCTTAATTGGGTAGAGTCCAAGATGATTGGGTCCTTGGATAAGTAGCTTGTTGGTCCGAGAATCCTTAATGGCAAATCCATGAGCATCAAGAAGCACAAAACAGGAATTATCATTAGTGAGTTTATGTATGGAAAGTAGATTGTGGGAGAGATGTGGTACATGCAAAATTTTGGGTAAATGCAGCTTACGGTGCGGAGTGGGAATAAACCTAGGCCTGTATTGGCTATAGGCAGCTGTTGTCCATTACCTACTTGAACTTAAGAGGATCCTTGGTAGGGTTGTAAGTTTTGTAGGTGGGCAGGATTTGCAGTGAGGTGCTCGGTGGCCCCAGAGTCCAGAAACCAGTCTGCAGTTTGTGGTGTTTCAGTAGTAACATAAGCTTTCGGTGCAGTATTGCAAGCAGTGTCGTGTCGGTGCCAGCATGATATGGCGAAATGCCCTTGTTTCCCACAGATTTGGCAATCTATAGTTGGGTGAGCTCTACGTCCACCGCAAGCATGAACCTGCAAAGCACTAAAAACAGAGAACAAGAAGAAGAAGAGAATAACGAAACAGATGATTAAAACTTCTACTGTTCATCTCATTTTCTTTTTCACCCCGAATCCTCTGGTCATACAAGGATATAAATAATAGCAGTTCGTTAGAGCTCAACCACTGAGATGCATTGGCAAAGATCAAGCAGTGAGGATTACACAGTACCGAGACTAGCAGGGTAAGTGGAGTGCAGAATGTCAGAGGAGTAGAGTAGCCTTACAATAGGCAAGCCGACTTATGCATAGGCATGAGTGAGTATCAGTTTTCCTTATCAAGCTACATTTTAAAACTAAGGGGCTGTTTGGCTGCGAGTAGGATTTATCCTATAAAAAAAGTAGGGTTTGTCTTATAAATCCCGATTTATTAAATAATAGGGTTTTAAATTCTAAAAAGTTATCTAGAAATTATTTGGTAACGTAACTTAGGATTTAAAGTAATAAGTTCATTATAAATTTAAATTTAATTTGTATTTTAAATATGAGTTATTTATTAATTATAATTTTAATTATCAGTAAGTAATTATAAATAATATAATTAAAAATAATTTAATTATTAACTAATACTTATTTAAATAATTAATTAGTTATTATTTAAAATAATGAATATTTTAAGTTTTATTTAATTATTTTTAATTACGATATATACTATTAATGATTTAATTAATTATTTAAATATTTTATTTCAAATTATATTAGGCCTGTCTAGGGTTTACTTTTCCTCTCAGACAACGTTCGACTTCGACTGCTTCGCTTGAGGTAGAATTTTGAACAAGTCCTCCTATGACAAGGATCCCTTTATGTTGTATCGGAAGTCATGACAGTTCGACGACATTCTTGCTGTTGGATCGAAAGTAATGGTTGGAGCTTCGCATTTGCAATTTATTTTTTTGCAAAAAGTTTAGTTTGTTTCCAAATTAAAAAAAAAAAAACACAAATTCCCCCTAACCCGCCATTGGTTTACACATGATCCAAGAATGAGGTCTTTTGAATATTTTAAAATTCTGCGGCTCATCTGGATCTATTGGTTGGGCGTTTTGATTATCAACAAAGAGTTCTTGATTTTATCTTATATATGAAATTGTGTGTATGAATTTGTCTTAATTGATCTAAATATTCTAAAAAATATATATATTTTAAAATTTTGTATGCATTCATAACACTAAAGTATTTCAATAGAGAGTCAGTTTAAAATAACTAAACATTCACACCTAAGAAACAAATGAATATCTACATGCAGGAAACATAAAATGTTGGAGACAAATCGATTTTTATGTGATTCGGCTAAATAAAGCATATCCTTGCCTAGGCGCCCAATACATGCTAAGACTCCTACTCTAATTTTATCTACTACAATCACTTCTACAAAAGGGTAATCATACAGTTACTCTTTTGAAATACATAATTTTTTATGTGAAACAAGATTTTTTTTTCTTAAAGTGTGGTAATTGTATTTATTGAAAGTGGACAAAAGCCTTAAATATTTCACCACCACTCCAACCCTGAAAACTTTCTTATTATATCTAGGGGTGTCAATATTTGACATGACTCAAAAATCTGACTCAAACCTGACCAGAAAATTCTGGATTAGGGTCAACCCAAACCTGAAATAGATCGGGTTTGGGTTCACAATTCAACCCATTTGAAAAATCGGGTCAAATTCAGGTTGACCATTTGACTCGAAATTGACTCGTTTTTTACCCAAAAACCCGTTTTAACCCGGCAACCCGAGATTGACCCATTTTGACCCAAAAAACGGAGATTGACCCATTTTTGGACTTAAAAACTAGCATTTTTTTGTTGGCATTGGGTCATTCGGGTCGTGTCAGGTTGACCCGGACCCGAAGCGGGTCTGGTTCGGGTCCGGCAAACCGACTCATTTCCAAAAAGGGTTGAGTTCAGAATGACCTGAATAGTGTCGGGTCAATTTCGGATTCGACCCGAACCTGACCCGTGACCTGAAATTGACACTTCTTATTACATCCGCATCATAGTGTGCAAGTGATTTGGTTCAATGGAGAAATGTATTTTGTGTTGTCAAAATCTCAAATTAATTAGGGACTAGGTTATCTTTGAAATATTCATAAATGAATTTTATGGAAGCTATAACAATATGCATAAAGAGATCGATTTAGCTAGAAAGGCACAGAATTATAGGCATTTAGATTCTATTGTCCTTGCAGTCCATGCTCAAAATGCTACGAACTAAATAGCCCTTAGTAAACTAATTTAACAAAAACTTGTGCTTCTTCTTTGCTTTGATGATCATGATATACTTGTTCAGCCTTATTCAACTATAAACGTTGTGCTGTCGTCTAATTTTCTTGCTTTGAAACCCAATTTTCTGATTAACTTGATATTTTTGGTACTTACAAATAAATATATTCATCAGGATAAACACAAAACACTTCCATTCGAGTAAAAACAATGAAATGCATTTCGTTCATTTGGACTCTTTAACATCACAAAATTAGCATTTAACCCAACTCTCAAAACTCTGAAGTACGACTACCTTCACAATTGATAAAGGTAGTGCTACATGATGCACTATGCATGGAGAGATTATTCTGTACAGTCATTGGGCACAGCTTATCATTCAGAGGCGAATCAGGTGCAACCGCGTCATCCAGTACCGAGCCATGGTACAGAGTAAAGGTGACATGGCGCATTTTCATTGGGCTCTGGACAACGTTCGATGTCTGCACAGAATAATTCATCCTACACATGAGGGCACATCACTCTCTCCACCTCCACACTGGCACAGGCAACAACAGCAGCCATCTCAGCAGTTAATTGATATATTTTGCTAATTCCTCTCCAACGGTTGGTTGTTCATCTTGCTCTATATCTCTACCTACTACTACTAATAACAGATTTGTTCAGCACTATTTGAAAGTTGCTGGAAGATTTCACCCCAACAACAACCGTTCAGATTGTATTCGTTAACGGGGCAGTTGAACGGTGCAATAACGGATAATCACACCAAGAAATTCATTTTATTAACTTCACTGAAATTATCTGTAAGGACCACTAGAATGCTTTACTTAAAATGGAAAATATCTTCCAGATCATTAACCAAAACCGATCCAAAGACACTGGTTTTACTGAAAAGGTAAAGCATGATCTCAAATTCACTATAAATTCCAAAAGAAAATTCTGACAGCATTCAGGATATATAAAGGTTTTTTGTAGTATCCACAAACAGGTTCAAGAGCTAATCCTCGGATACTGCCAGCAAAATATAGAAATAATGGGAACTCAAAACTGCTAAACATTAATAAAGAACCCATCGCTGACAAAAAAAAGAACTTGCTTGGATCTAAATATGTTACATGGTAATTTCCGAGCCAATTTCCTCTCACAGATGAGACAATGAGCAGTAAGCATTCCAGAAAGGCAATTCTTAGAAGTATGAGCAAACAGAACTTTTACTTGGAAAACTTGTGCAAACCTATGTTGAGATCAGATGAGATTGTGGTCATCAATGGGTGGGATTGGTGCCAGATAGCTTTGAAGACTCGCTTCTGATGAGCTTGCACGGATTGGCTGGGACTGTTGCCATTGTATCTGATGTCAAAAATATGAATCATGGGGTCTACAGTACCAGAGGAAACATAGAGGCCATCAGGGGACCAAGCTTGGTTAATAAGGGCGGACTGAGTCTCACTGCTCTCCTGCTTCCATCCAAAAGAATGGATTTCTGTTTGCCTGAGCCGGATGTCGAACAACCGTAGCTGCTTGGTAATAGTCCTAAGAAAAGGAGAAGGAATGCCATGTTAATGTACGAAGAACGGGGTTGAGAATAGAGGTTCCTAGGTTAGTTAAAGATAATACATTTATTACAGAAATAAGAAATATAATAATCTAAGTTATAAAATAAAAAAACTACAGAAAATATATCCACATGAGAGCAAAACATTTCTGAAACTTAAGCAGCGCATCTGGTATTGATGACAAGCCATAATATTTGAGAGGGATCTAAAAGTAATCTTCATCTAAGCTTAATATTATTGTAACTAAAAATAAAGATGATGAGAGTTACAAAGAAGATTATAATTTAGGAGATAATGATTATGAAAAAATTGACTTTTTTTACTAATGATGATGATGATGATAATTCTCAAGAATAAAATGTGACTTTTTTTTACTAATGATGATAATGATGAAGAATGGTGCTCCTAAAAGGAGTTGGCTAATCTACCAAGATATTTTGAGTGTAATATCACTAACTACTATTTAGAAACAATAAATTGTAAAAAGTAGAACTAGTTTATTTCGACATAATTTTCAATCACATTAGATGTAGTAAATCTTTTATTTTGTTCAGTGTTTCAATGCATAGCTTGAGAACTGTGTGGGCTTCAAAAATTCGCGCCTTGGTCTTTCCGCGGCCCCTTTCACTTTCATATCGTCCAGGAGAGTTCTAATGAGTAGGTTTTCATGCAAATTTTTAGAAGGCATGTTGGGTTTTGAATAAGACATTACCCAAATATTTCGCTCTCATTTTGTGAAGACTTTATGATCTGAGTTTAGATTTCTTATAGGCGCAAGCGCAAGCCCATATAGTTAATTACCTCTCCCGATAGCGAGAGAGAACATTCATTAAGGCTAGTCGTCAAACATATATATAGTACATGGTGTATAGTAGCAGCATGTTTTAGGCATTCAAAATTTAACATTAAAAATTAGAAATTCACCACCTTGCACTTAAAGCGGATGGTGAGGGGAATGATGATAAACCCGATCAAAAGATCCCATTGTTTCATCATCCCTGGTCATCATAGTCCCTGGTCTACTTTGTCAGAGGAGATAGTCAACCCAACCTGACAGAAGGATCCTATCGGTAGGCATGGGCTACTTCCTCCAAGGGTATCTTGTAGACCTAGGATGGATGTTTGATTAAGAAGACAAATTTGAAGCCATCTTACCTAGAAGCGGGCTTTGTGCCCTATCGGTCATATCCTATTGATTCATTACTTAACGTCGTTGGGGAACATACAGACTCTGACCATGATTGTTATTTAATGGTGTCATTTGAAGGCAAAACTACCCGTTATAGGGTCTCAGTCATAACCGTTTACCAGTGGTGCAATTTGGCGGCAAAAACACCAGTTAGAGGACACGTGCCACATCCTTACTGGCAATAGTCAATTTGAGAATGAATCCTAATAATATTCTCGACTAGGCATTCACTCTTTGTAAGTTGAAGTACTTTTCAAACTTGTCCACTTTGGTATGGGTATTATTGCTTCATCTTGGCTAGCAATTCGTTGCGTGTCGGCCTCCACTGCTTGCAGAGTTTATTGTGTTTGTTTGTGCATTGATATCGATTGCAAGGTGTTGTTGCATTCATTGCATGTCCACTGTCATTACTTGCGGGCGAATTAATGAGTTTGCTTGCAATTAAGTATTGTTGACTATATGTGGACTGCATTCATTTTGAATTCCTCAAACATATCTTAGTTGGCAAATCCTCTCATCCAATACACATCTACCCCTCTTGCTCGAAGGGAATTGATATATTTTGCTTGCATGTTGAATTGTTGTTGACAATAGGAAAGTTATTGTAATCAAATTATGTGTTCGTATTGGTTCTCACTTGTGGGTGAGATGTGAGAATTTTCTGTCTGCTACAAGTCATCATTTGTTAATTTGTAAATTACAGGTTTTGTTTTAAATATTAGGTTCAATTTCCTGTAGATTTGATCACAAGTTCGATTCCATGTAGTTCATTAAGTCATGTTCCCTACATTTGGTTCAATTCCAAGTCCTCTGTTTACTAGAAAATTCGGCAGCATTACGGTGTCTCCTTTATTTAGGAGAATTTGGGAGAGATGGGCCTTCCCACCATACTACAAAGAGCATGTATGGTAGGTGTCGAGTGACATTGTGGCCGTGATTTTCAATCCCACCATGCTATAAGAGCATGTATGGGTCTATGAGGTACATGTTTGAAATGCGTAATTTTTTCCCCACATGCATAGAAGCACGTACACGAGTAATTAGGATTGTCCCCACAATGCTACAAGAGCGTTTACAAGACCTACCCACTTCGCCGCAGGCATCATACCGGGCTTCCTCCCATTATGCTAAGAAAAGCATGTATAGATGGTCCCCAGTGCGCCGTGAGCGTCAAAAGCGGGGTTTGGAGATTTTTTGAGTTTGAGAGAACATTTATGCCATTGGGAGTGAGGCGAAGATGACTATGACGAGGAAATAAGCAGGGGATCAAATACACAATCTCTCTTTATCTTTATTTTCTCTTTTTCTATTACCTTTTCTCTTTTTTTTTACTTCTCTTCTTATCTTTTCTTTTTAATAATAATAATAATAAATACTGTTAATATTAATATAAAACTGAGAGAGAGAGAGAGAGAGAGAGAGAGAGAGAGAGAGAGAGAGAGAGAGAGAGAGATTTTTGAAGTGGTTTGGAAACTTTGGGAGTGTTGCAAGTGGCTGTGAGGGATTAGGTAGTAGCAGTGGGTTGTTTGTGTGAGAAGCGTGCAGCTATTTGCTGTTGTGGGCTCGGTTGGATATTGAACAGGGAGCTGGCTACATAAGTTACTGTAGATGGATATTAACTTATGAAGGTAAAGCGTGGAGAGGGGTGGAGGAGCTGGAAAGGTAGCTGGCTGGAGGGATTTCACGATAGAGAGTGAAGATCGGGTTGGTGGGAGCTAGAAGCGGAGTTTGGTCCAGCGAGTAAGTGGCTCGGTCGGCTTGCACAGGAGCGACAATGGCGGCTGGTTGAAGGGGAGAAACTTGGCACTGAAGTAGGGATTGTGGATCGGGGTGCTCATGTAGTGGGATATCGGCACAAGAGTTGGATTGGTTGGATCAGGTAGTTGGTTAGAATGGATCGGCCTGGAATAGGGATTGTGGAGATCGGGGTTGCTCATGTACAGGAAGTTAGAATGGATCGTCGCAAGAGTTAGAAACAAGAACGGGAGCAGGTTCAACGAACAGAAATCGCGGGATATGACAAGCGCGGCGTCGACGCCTAATCGCATAGGTAAGTAGGATTTGAGAGGGATTTCGGCAAGAATTTCCATAGATTTTCTGAGATTTGAGTGGAGGTCAACAATCTGACATAAATTGAACCAAACAAATGTCACAAAATTGAAAGTAATATGAATTCATAGCTCAACTTTAGTGCAGAAAATATATTGCGTAAAAATATCAAATAGTTGACCCTCATTAATGAGTTTAATATTTAGAGTATAAAATGAATTTGCCATTAGTGTATTTAACCCAACTTGATTCATTCCACCAAAAAAAACATGCAGCTAAACGGTTTGATTGCAGGTCCGGGCAAATTGGATGTGTTAATGGATGATAGCACAAAAACCTAGTGATGCTACAACATCTTCTTCATCCAAAGCTTAGATAATCACTTTGTTGAAGAAGAAACGCCTAAGACAATTCTTCTTTCTGCTGAAAAAGGTACTAAAGCAATGCAAGTATGAATTTGACTTTTGGATTCCCTACATAAAGATAACCTAAACTGTTTTAGAAACATTTATAGATCTTGATCATTGAAAGACAACTTTGAAAACCACAACAATTATTTTCTTGTAAGCTGACATGGGACTTACAAAAAACAAAATACCAATGGACAATTCACCCACAAACAATCGTAAAAAAGGGGGGCTAAAGCCTGCAATATTAAAAAGCATACGAAAATATTAAAAATCTCAATTATAAGACAAACGCATGTGTGATCAGTACGATAATTTATTTCCCATAAAGAATGATTAAATGTTTTAGCATTGATATACATGTGGACTACAAACATACCCTGTTTGAACCATGAACAGGTTGAAGTCACAAGGGTTTGGCAGAACACTCATGCATCTGCTATCTATCTGATTTTTGAATGCAGTTCTTTCAGCCAACAGATCAAAACCAATAACCCTTTTGTCTGAACCAGTAGATAATATAACCCTCTTCTGCAGCAATCCTGCAACTCCCATGACAGCAGAAGAATGCAGGTTCCGATGTATTGCCTTATGTTTCCAGGAATCGATTTTCTCACTCCAGAGGACCACAGCATGGTCACTACCACCAGTTGCAAAACAAATATCATTCCAAGGCATAAAATTAATACTGTTTATGATGCCCTTGATATGAGGTTTTTCTTCCCAGTATGTAACTTTTTTCTGTGTGAAACAATCACAAAAAATACAGCGCATTATTGCAATGTATTTCAAAGCACCTTGACTCAGAAAGTAAGCAGATTATGAAATGTACAAAACGACAAACTAGTTCTTCCTAATGATGTAAAATATAACCCTATTTATCGAGGGGTAGGACGAAAAGGGACAAAACAATCCAGACAATGCAAACCTTGCAACTCTCTCTCACTTAAAGAGCACTATATTTTTTAATATTCTGAGCATTTAAGAGAATACAAACACCATTATACCATGAAAACATCATTGATTACTCTTTCTTCCAATATAACATCCTGAGATATTGTATCTCATGCTCACTCATAAGCTTACATTTACACCAGGTTACTTTCCATATAACTTCATAAATATAGTTCGTTTGCAAGCTATACCTTTTTTAATTGCACTGGATTGATAGAATGGGTTTTGAAAATTCATTTTAAGTTCCAAAACGGAATTAGTAACAAATTCGCAATCTTTCTGTTTTAACAGTTTTGGACTTTTTTTAATCCTATTCAACTTGCAATTAAATTTTCTTCATTGCTTAAATATTACATTTAAATTATTTAAAAAAAAACAAATCCTCACATCATTTAATTCCAAATCTTCTGTCATTGATGAAACCATTCGAACCACATTCTAATTAAATTCTAAGGGAATAGTTCGAGATACACTACGGGAAAACACGTGATTACCGTCGGAATTTCCGGCGGATTTGTTTGCGCCGGCATTGTCGGCGCAGTTTCCGGCGGAATAATGCGACGTAACGTTTACGGCGTTTTTTCCGGCGGAACCGACGCCGGAAATTTACCGGCGCCAATTGCGCCGGCAATACCGCCGGTGAAAACTGCTCTGGATTATTTCCGGCGCAGATTACGGCGGAAACGTTGCACGCGGGCAGCTCGGGCTGGGGCAGCGGGCAGCCGGGCTGGGGCAGCGGGCAACTCGGGCGGGAAATAAGGAAATTTCAAATTTTTTTAAATTAAACGGGTTGTCGGGTTGACCCGGCAACCCGCCGGGTCAACCCAACCCGACCCGTTTAATCAAACGGGTCAAATCTACGAACCCAAACCCGACCCGTTTATCAAACGGGTCGGGTTCAACCCGGATTTTCCGGGTCGGGTCCGGGTCGGGTTTTCGGGTCGGGTCAAAAGTTGACACCCCTACACATACCCATAATAATAAAGTGCTCAAGCTATTTCAACTTCAATATGTTGCATAAATTGGAAGAATAAAAGAGAATTACCTTCTGGACATTAAGAACAAGCCGAACAACATTTAGGTTGCTCCATACAGTGTTAAAGGCTACGATACAAATCACAGGAAAATAAAAAAAAACTCGCTACATAAAGATTACAGCAAGTACATCAAACCTTCTTTAATCATGCAGAGATGAGAACTTAGTGCATGTTTATTGACTCAACATATGGTTTATTCCCTTATCTATGCTTTCTGGCATCGAGAAGGATAGCAAACCTCTCGTGTTAAGCCGGTTTGGGATACGTAACACCAATATATGCCTCTCGAGCCATACAAACAAATATGAGATTACTTCCATGGTTTTTGCAATTGCAAATGGGAAACGGCACATGATGTCAAGGGATACGAGAATGCTATCTTGAGAAGTACAATAGATGATCTCAATATGTGTAAGGAGATCATGTAAGGCACATGTGCCATCAGGATTTTCAAAGGCTTTCTTGATTTGTGAGCTTCCTCGACAAATATATGTATTCTTTTTCATCTGAGATTTTAAGAAGACAACCCATTTGGAATCTCTCTTGATTCCTTATACTCCCTCATAGAAATAGTGTGATAAGAAACAATAGGAAAACAGGAAAATAATTGCTGAAATCAGAAATTCTACAGATTAAACAAGCAGATTTTTAGGTTGTTATGGATGAAAACACAAGAAAAACACTGTAGATTGCTAGGAGATGAAAAGAAATAGCAAGATACAAACGATCCTCTATTCGAGAGGAGGATCAACCTCTCCAAAACTCTCCAGATGCCGTTAGAGCCCAAGACACCAAAGAGAACTTCATGAATTAGCCACCAAAAAGATGCCCTAACCCTAATACAAACTCCTACTTACAGCAAATACATAAATAACATGAAAGGACTAAACAATCAATAATTAGCCCTAGGTAGTGGACCCCACCCCAAAGGGGGTGGGAATTGGCTCTTGCGGTTCAACAGGTCGGCGCCTGTTGTAATGCAGGAGCTGCCGGCCCACATTTTGGGCTGACTGGATCGGTCTAGGGTGGACCAGTCCCAACATATCAATACCCCGCTCGCAAAGAACCACCTTGTCCTCAAGGTGGAAAGAGGGGAATTGATGTTTCACCCTTCATAGGGCTCCTATGCAGCGTCATAATAAGAAAGGTCCTTCCACTTGATCAGCACTTCTTTAACCCCTCTCTCTCCCTGGCGTACCCCTTGTAGCTCCAGGGGTTTTAACACCACTTCCAACTCTTCAGTCAATGTTGTTGGCAACTCTAAACTGGTTGTGTGATCCCCCAAACCTCTCATCAACTGTGACACATGAAAGTGGTGTTATTACAGCCCCTAATAACACCATACAGACCTCATAATTGACTACTAACTTTTTCACATCCTTGTGCATCCCCTTCAAATACAACTCTGAGTCGAGTCTCTTGAATGTCTTCTGCACTCCTGAATGACTCCTAATAACACTCCTATGGAACTCCTGGAGCAGGATTAGAATATGAACAGATGTCCTAGGCAGCACAAATCATCCCTGGTACAAAAGCCTCTCCCTTTTAAGGAATAGTCTGGGTGGCTACTCTTATCCTTATAATTCTGCCCTAATCCTCCCAAGCTCCTCATCCTGTGCACTCTGCTCCTTAAGGGCCCCCTAATCCAGCATCAGTGGTATCGACATTGTTATCGCCTGCATCTCCCCAATACATCTAGACAAGGCATCCGCAGCCTTGTTCTCTGTCCCCGGCCTATACTAAATTTCAAAGTCATATCCTAATAACTTTGACAACCATCTTTAATGCTCCTCTGTCACCATCCTCTACTCCAACAAATACTTCAGGCTCCATTGGTCTGCCCTGACAATGAAATGCTGACCCAACAAATAGGGCTATCACTTATGGATGGCAAGCACGATGGCCATCAATTTCCTCTCGTATACTGACTTCAGCCTCACTCTAGCTGTTAACACCTGGCTGAAGTAGGCGATGGGTCGATGGCTATGCATGAGTACTACTGCTCCCAATCCATATCCCGAGGCATCTGTCTCCACTATGAAGACCTGAGTGAAATCTGGTAGGGCCAAGATCGGCGCAGTGGTCATGGCCTTCTTTAAGCTCTCAAAAGCTGTTGTGGCTACCTCCCCCCATAATAAATCATTCTTCTTCAATTGTTCAGTGGTCATGCAATGGTGTTATACCCTTTCACAAACTACCTATAGTAGCCCGTCAGCCCTAGGAATCCCCTTAGCTCCTTGAGATTCTTGGGCAATGCCCATTTCAACATAGCTTCAATTTTGGCCTGATATGTCGCTACTCCCTCCTTAGAGGCTACATGCTCCAAGTACTCCATATTGGCCTGTGCAAAACAACATATCTTCCTATTGGCCCTCAGCTGGTGCTCCTATAACATCTCTAAAACCTTCCTCAAGTGCTCCTAGTGCTTTTCCTCTAACCTATTATAAACTAGGATATCATTGAAAAACACCAACACAAATCACCTGAGATAGGGTTGAAAGACCTTGTTTTTGAGGTACTGGAAAGTGGCTAGAGCATTAATGAGGCCAAAAGGTAGTACTAGGAATTCATAATGCCCTTCATGAGTCCTGAAAGTAATTTTTGGCACATCCTCCATTTTCATTCTAATCTGATGGTACCCTGACTTCAGATCTATCTTGGTGAAAATAACTGCCCCACTCAACTCATCCTATAACTCATCTATCACTAGGAAGGGAAACTTATCTGGCACAATTTTCTTAGTCACCGCCCTATAGTCCACGAAGAATTTCCAACTCCCATCTTTTTTGGCACAATCAATTGGTCCACGACCTGGTTGGAGATGAAATTGTAGGTAGCCACACTGTCAATCAACACTACCACCTCTCTATCTGTTACTTCCCACTTCTCCTTCATGGTATGATTCGAAGTGAATCCTACCACTGAGATGAAGGAGACCTATGTCATATCCAGATGCAGCTTTTCCTCGACCTCTCTCATCATCTCACTCTCACCTCCCTTAATTTTCTCGTCATCACAGATAGTGAGAACCTGAAGAGTTTGGTCCCTACACCTTTGCCCTGGAGTATACTTCTCATCACATCTGAAGCATAATCCCTTCGCCCTCTTCTCCTGCATCTCCCTCTCAGTCAGTCTTTTGAAGTTCCCCCCCTTCTATTAGATTCTCCCTGGGAGTCTCACGAGTGTTGCGCGATGCAGGCCCCTTGGGTGTTAGAAGGGTGGTAGTCATCCTATAAGAGTCACCTGAACTGCTGCCTCTAGCACCACTCTCCTAGTATAATTGATCCTCTACTAGTTGTGTTAGCTTTATTGCCCCTCCCAAGTCATGAGACCTTATGACCCTCACTGTTAATCGGATCTCTGATTTGAGTCCCTTCATAAAATTCCCCCTCAGAACAGTCTTTGATAGTCGATCAAATCGACTTGTCAGATACTCAAATCTCTCGCGATAATCTGCCACTGAACCTTCCTACACTAGTGTAAAAAATTGCTCATAGAAGTAATCTCCATTGTCGGTTCAAAAATGTTCCAATAAGCATTCCTTGAACTCCCTCCAACTCCATATAGGCCTCCTCATGTCCCTCCAATAGTACCAAGACAATGCCTTCCCTTTCAAACATAAGCCAGCTACCATCAATTTTTCCTCCGTTAACCCATTGACGGTGAAATACCTTTCCACCTTATAGATCCACCCATGTACATCCTCCCCTTCAAAAATGGGAATCATCAGCTTATGCACCTTCGGATCTC